TAACGGTCATGTGCGACAACGCGCTGATACAGACCACTGTGCCACAGGGTAGGATCACAGAGCTGCCCAACGACGAAGGCATGACGATAGTCCAGAGCTACACGTTCGACTTTTTCAACTATGCCGGAATCCATCGCTCAGTCCACCTATACACCACACCCAAGACGTTCATAGAGGAGGTAGTGGTAACCACAAATCTGTCGAAGGACAACGTCGGTAAGATACATCAGCAATGCGCCTGCCAGCCACCACTTATATCGGCTTAATCCGCTTTCTAGGAGGTGAGGTCCTCTACAGCGTCAAATTCAATGGAAGCGCCATCAACGAAGCAGACAATGCCCTGTACGTACGAGCCCAACTTTACGACCGCGAGGGCAAGTTGGTCGCCAATGGCACCTCGGATGCACAGCTGAGTGGGAGTCTGCAGGTGGACAATGTGAACCCCTGGTGGCCGTATCTCATGCACCCGGAGCCGGGATATCTGTACCAGCTGGAGGTGAAGCTACACGCCTCAAACGATGAGCTACTCGACGTCTACCGTCTGAAGGTGGGCTTGCGTACCCTAAGCTGGAGCAACGCCACATTCCAGATCAACGGAAGGCCCGTCTACTTCCGCGGCTTCGGCCGCCACGAGGATGCCGATGTGCGAGGCAAGGGGCTGGATAATGCCCTGATGGTGCGCGACTTCAACCTGCTTAAGTGGATCGGGGCCAACGCGTACCGCACGTCCCACTACCCCTACTCTGAGGAGTCGATGCAATTTGCGGACGAGCACGGGATCATGATTGTCGACGAGTGTCCCAGCGTCGACGCGGAGTGAGTATGATATGTATTTCTCTGCAGGGCCAGGGTGTAATTGTGATTCCTCTCGCCATTCAGAAACTACAACCAGGAGTTGCTGGGTAAACACAAGTCGTCGCTGGAGCAGCTAATCCACCGAGATCGGAACCATCCCAGCGTGGTCATGTGGTCCATTGCCAACGAACCTCGCACCCGCGAAATGAATGCGGATTCGTATTTCCAGTGGGTGAATCAGAGGGTGCTCTCCGCCTCTTTATTTTAATGATATATCTCCACAGACTTGTGGCTAACCTTACACGGTCCCTCGACAAGACAAGGCCAATTACGGCAGCCATTGCTACTCCCTGGACCGACGACAAGGCGGTACGTACACATAAGGAATTTCGGATGCTTCCTAGTTCCGTATAACCGTATAGTTCCACTTCAGGGCCGCTTTTTGGACATAATTAGCTTCAATCGCTACAATGCGTGGTACTCCAACACGGGTCGACTGGACATGGTCACAAAGAAAGTGGTTGAGGAGGCCGTTGCGTGGAACAAAAAGTACAACAAACCCGTAATCATGGCAGAGTACGGAGCCGATACACTGGAAGGACTGCACCTGGTAAGTTGTGAGGCATCTCCCCTGGGACTCTATCTCTTAATTTTTCTCTTGCTCCTGTAGCAACCGGCTTACGTATGGTCAGAGGAGTTTCAGACTGAGGTCTTTGCGCGCCACTTCAAGGCATTCGATATTCTGCGGAAGAAGGGCTGGTTCATCGGAGAGTTTGTGTGGAACTTTGCCGACTTCAAAACAGCGCAGAGTGGGTGTCAACATATCCTCTTATGTACTGCATTATGACTAAAGTTCTTTCTATATCCTTTCAGGCTACACCCGAGTAGGCGGCAACAAGAAGGGAGTCTTCACGCGTGCCCGACAGCCGAAAGCCTCCGCTCACCTGTTGCGAAAGCGATACTTTGCCCTTGCCCGGGAGCTGGACGACTCCAGCTTCCCGGAAGACCTCTTCACCTATATTGCCGACATGGGCAAGACGGAGAATGCGTAGTAGCCGGACACATGGCCTGCTGTATATATGTATTTATGCGTGTGATCCTTGATCTGCCATCGCCATAGTTGCATTTTTCATTCCATTCCGTTACATTGCCTTGTACAATCTTAAATTTACTGTTTTACTGCATTGTATTTTTGATATATACTGATAAGATAAACTAAATTTAAAATAAAATGCATTATTTATTAACGTTAATTGGAGGAAGTAGAACAGTAAAAATCCACTTCTGCCATTATTTTTCGTTGCTCTTTTTCGTGTAAACCGTGTTTATGAATGCATCTGTCAGATAATATAGGTTGAGGCCGAGAGTACGTAATATAAAAACGAACATCAGAATCGAGAAACATGAATTTCCGATCATGGTTAGAGAACGCTTAACCCATTGTCGCCAGTGGGTGTTTCAATTTACGCACGACTATTAGTGTGTTTTACGCACTCGCCTATATCGTGTTAAAATATATTTTTTTGTTAAAAGCTTAGTACTCAAATGGGCTAAAGAATGGAAAAATGTACCTAACAGAATTATTTTCCGCGGTACCTAAAATTGTTCACCTGTTAATATGTAGGGGGTTTTATTGGGTTAATTTCGTTCCCAGCTGGACAAAATGCGAGGGCTAACTTGGCCATGGATGTGGCTCCTCTCGGTCGTGGTTGTCGCTGGCCACGGTGAAAACAACGGGCAGGATGAGGCGCAGCAGCAACCAGTGTTTCCACATAAACATTTGACAGCGCCCGTACCAAGTACGGGACTGCTGTATCCACGCGAATCAGAGACGCGGGAGGTGCGCATACTGGATGGAATGTGGCGCCTACTAATAAGTCAACCGAGTGACCCGCTCCAGGGGCTGCGCGAGAAATGGTACGAGGAAAGTCTGCATAAGACTGGTCTGGAGATCATACCGATGCCAGTCCCGGCCTCCTACAACGACATAACCACGGACAACCTGCGCGACCACGTCGGTACCGTCTGGTACGAGCGAACGTTCTTCGTGTCCCGCGACTGGGAGGAAAATCGCCGCACCTGGCTTCGTTTCGGCAGCGTCCACTATGAGGCGGTCGTGTGGATCAACGGGCAAAATGCCATGAGCCACAGCATTGGGCATCTGCCATTTGAGGCGGATATCAGCAACCTTCTGAACTTTGGCGGCGAGAATCGGATCACAGTCATGTGCGACAACCGCCTGACTAACCACACCGTTCCCCAGGGGCAGGTATCCACAGTGAAGACGGACAGCGGCGAGACACCTATCCAGAGCTACACCTTCGACTTCTTCAACTACGCTGGTATCCACCGCTCTGTCCACCTGTACACCACGCCCCTCGTCCACATCAGCGATATTGCGATCAGCACGCAGCTGTCCTCAGACCAAGTGGGACGCATTGACTACCGCATCTGGTTAGATGGCAGCACTGAAGATTCCACAATGCAGCCAACGCATGTTCTTGTTCAGCTCCGCGACAACGAAGGCGTCGTGGCGGCACAGCAGGTCAACCGCGCTGTCTACAATGGAACTCTCCTGGTACCAGGCGCGAAGCCCTGGTGGCCCTACCTCATGCACCCCGAACCAGGGTACCTCTACAGCCTAGAGTTCGAACTATTCGTGTCCAGCGTCGAGGGCGATGATGGGGACGAGCTGCTAGATGCCTACAGACTTCCCGTAGGTATCCGCACTCTTAGCTGGACGTCCACGAGTCTGCTCCTCAATGGGAAACCACTCTACCTCCGAGGATTTGGCCGTCACGAGGATTCCGATGTGAGTCAGATTTTAACCTAATTCTTCCTTTAACCTCCCATTACGTTTCCGATTTGACAGATTCGGGGCAAGGGTCTGGACTATGCACTTCTCGCACGCGACTTTAACCTGATCAAGTGGGTAGGGGCCAACGCGTACCGAACTTCTCACTATCCCTACTCTGAAGAGTCGATGCAGTTCGCGGACGAGCACGGGATCATGATTGTCGACGAATGCTCCGCTGTGAACATAGATATCTTCGAGCCGGAACTGCTGAGCAACCACATGTCCGCGCTGGAGCAGCTTATTCACAGGGACCGCAATCACGCTAGCGTCATCGCCTGGTCGGTGGCCAACGAGCCGCGCTCCTTCAAGATGGGGGCCCTCAGCTACTTCCAGTAAGTTGCATCGCATTTGTGGCGCAGGGCTAATCGCTATCTGTCCACCCAGGGCCCTGGTAAATTACACGAGGAGCATAGCCCAGGGACGGCCTCTAACGGCAGCTATCAATGCCAGCCCCGATCCTCCCAAGCAGTGCCACCTGGCCGCTTTACTCGACATTGTCGGTTTCAACCGATATAACGCCTGGTACCAGAACTCGGGACGCACGGACATGATCGTCAATCTGCTGACAGAGGAGGCTCAGCGCTGGCACCAGAACTTCGGGAAGCCCGTGATCCTCTTCGAGTACGGGGCTGATACCATGGAGGGCCTGCACTCGGTAAGAAAATTTGATCTAGAAAAATTTGAATTGCCCTGATTGATGCTTTACAGCTCCCAGTCTACATCTGGTCCGAGGACTATCAGGTTGCACTCTTCTCCCAGCACTTCAAGGCCTTTGACAAGCTGCGAAAGCAAAATTGGTTCATAGGGGAGTTTGTGTGGAACTTTGCCGACTTTAAGACGGCCCAAAGTGGGTGTCATAGAAGCCTCTTCCAGATGATATCAAGATCTCTTATGGTTTCCCTCTTCTCTTTTAGCTTACACTCGCGTTGGAGGCAACAAGAAGGGCGTATTTACCCGCTCCCGGCAGCCCAAGGAGGTGGCCCATATACTGCGCTGGCGGTACTTTGCCCTCGCCAATGAGTTGGACTGGGTCCCCCTGCCCAAGCATCTGAGTGTGTACATTTCCAGCTCAGTCAACGGCAACGGGCACGCGCGTACCGAGCTATAGAGCGAAGTATTGAAGGAAGAAAGCTTTAATTTGGCCAAAAACTACCAGTAATTTGAAAACTATTTATAATATAGATAGGTCTGATTTAAGTACATTCCGACTGCATGCTTTATTCTTTCCAGGGGAACGGTTTTTCCTTCCCGAACGTATTCCTGTATCTACATAGATCTCGTGTCCATGCTTTCATGGGATGCATCATGTTCACTGCACAACTTAACCGCAAATATACCAAATTATTGATTTACACTACACTAAGATTTATTAGCTACGTAAAAAGGGATTATTCACTAGAAATTTTAGGAGCATAGCTCGTATTCGTCGCGCTCAGCTTGGGACATGGGCTCTACGACCTGCATGCAAGCGTCAGCGAATTCGAGGAAGAGCGGCTCCTGCATGGCCGCTGTCATGGCCAACTGGACGTTGTGCGCCACGTCAATCTGTTTTAGAAGATCCCGGAGGTGGGGATTGCGGAGTAGCTGGTGCAGGGGTTCGCATGTATCTGGGTCAAAGAGAATTTTAGTGGAAATACTAGTGTAGTAGGTTTAGGGACTCACTTAGCTCCTGCAGCTTCTCTGGCGGCACAGTGTCATCGCTGGGGAAGGGGGCATGCAGCGTGGGCTCTTCCTCGGCAATCTTCTCTGAGACTTCATTATTGGCAGCAGCCGCTGCTTGTTGATTACATTCCACCGAGTCTTTGTGGACCTTGTAGCACTTCACTGAACAACTATGGACATACAGACTGGATATCACACTACAGAACTACAACCAGAGAGTTATTCTTACTAGGGCGCCATGCACTTGCTGCATTTGTATTTCTTTGGTAATTCCGCACAAATTGCACACTCCATTCTGCTGTAATATTTATATTTTCAAAAATTCAGCGTGCAGCGAGCAACAGCTGTTCGTGGCAGCTGTAGGAGTCGCTAGAGTACGGCAACGCCAGCGGCAACCTCTCGAGGCAACTCTTCTCGATTGACCGCAACGAAAACGCGGGCGTAGGATTATTTAATAAAATTTAATAAATATGAAGCTGTAATAAATACCGATAAAGCTAACATGGGACAAGCCGTCAAACTCCAGCCTCAGTGGCGCCCATCATTTCGGTTTTGAGCATTTTTTCGTCTGTACAGAAAGTAAAAGTTGACTGCGAAGTGTAAAAAGAAAAACAATAAAACGCGGAGAATATCGGCTGGTCGCATTGCAATTTTGCTAATCAAACGATCAAACTGATTTCCGTGTTTGTATGTTGGAGAATCTAGAACATCGAACGGTTTGACGTTAAAAGCAAGATTTAAAGTACGTGGCACGCTGTGGCTGCCCATGTAGTTATTGGGTAGTAGTAAGATGTAGTTATGATTCTGACATAAGCTCGTGGTCGATTTGTTATTCGACAAAAGCTGAAATGTTTGAAACTAACATTTGAGAGTTGCCGGATGTTTCCAAATATATGTGCACACATGACACATGCACTGTAGTTTCAGAAAATTGGAACAGTTTGAAAAACACACGAATTAAAATTTCTAAAGACAAGTACACACGTGGATAGCTTCTTCCTGCTTTCTTGGATTGTGTTTCCGTGCTTTCCGCTCTGAGCTGGAGGAGAAGACAAGGGCCCGTCCCCATTCCCGTGCCCAATCCCAGCTGGCATGTTTGCTTTAGTAAGTCTCATTTATGGGCAATCCAAGGCACGTCATCTTCCGAGCCGTTCTTAAGCAAACAAACTAGTGGCGTATCACGGCCGGTCGGTCCAATAAGGGAGACGACCGGAGAGGGGTGTGCCAGGGTTCCCCAATCATCAAAGCAATGCGCAGTTTCGGGCCACCTGGCGAATTAGCGGAGGAATCGACAACACGCGGCGGCGGGGCAGGAGCAGCCGCAGCGAGAAGGGAACAATCAAATGGCGGTCGGCGTGTCCACAAATTGTAAACACATCCTGCACACGGAACGGAACGGAACGGACCTAGCCCGAGCCCCAGCACGAGCTCGAGCCCCATCGCTCGCACCACCACTGGAGCAAGAACAGTTTGGGACAGCAAAAAAAGAAGCAGGGCGAAACTTTTGGTGGCAATAAATGACTTCAATGACTGACTGACTGCCTGACTGACCGGATGGAGGGGTAGGTGGAATGGAGAGAGGGGGGTGGCAGCAGCAGGAATGCACGGTGGGTGCACGGGAGGATGGTACTCGTTTCGCCATCTTTTTTGGGGACTTGTGGCAGGAGGCACAACAACGTGCAACTTGTTTTGCTTTGTTCGCTGCCAATTGGATTGCACAAAGGCAGAAGAAAAAGGCAGAAAAGAAAGCAGAGAACTGCAAAGAGGATGCCGGCAAACATTGGTGGGATGTGGATGTGGATGTGGATGTTGATGTGGATAGGGAGGGTATGGGTGCAATGGTAACATGATGTGGCGCCTCTGCCGCTTCCGCCGTTCGTGCAACAAAAGCGCGATAATTGCCAGCGTTATCCGCTCGGCCTGCCAGTCAAATAGGCGCAGCAGCGGCTGCCGCCAGAGGAAGAGCCTTCGTGTGACTCGCCTACTTTTGATTTACAACATTCGTGCAACATCAGCTGCAGCAACAGCACAAGCTGTGGCAGAGGCAGCAATCGTGTATTCAGTGTATCGCAAAAAGAAAGGGTAAAAGGGGAAGCACAGCAAACAGCAAGAAGAAGCGGGACACACGCCACCGGCAGGGGCATCGTGGCAGGCCATGGCAACTTCGTTCGCTCCGTGCAGGTGTCGTTCGTTAGGAGTTTTCAGCGTTTTTCTCATTCTCCCGTTTCCCCTTTTTTCCACCAGCGAAAAGCCAAAAGCGATATTAATAGATAGCGGCACTTTTCACTTCGGTTTTTTATCGCCTGAAAGGCCAAAGGGAACGCTGGCTGCAGGAACGCCGGCACCTGGACTCCTGCTGGACTCCCGGGCGGGCGGTGCCTGGCAATTGGGCAGATTGACAGATCATGCAATCATAATGGCAGAATATTCTGTGCATACATATAATGAATATTAAATTACATGCTACAACAGAACTGCTGTCAATGAGAGAGGCGATGCGAACAGGCGAACATCTATCAGCTGATTCGACGGTTTGGATTGAAGGGAAAACGTATACATATAGGAGGGGCACACATAGATACATATGTACTGGAGTAGAGTGTGTCAAAGAATTATTAAAAGGATTCGAATATTCGAGTAGTTGTGCTTGTGATTTGAAATTCCGCTCGGGGAGCACTTGCCGCACATTAACTATCAGCAGAGGGCGCACGGGGAAGGGGTGGCCAATGGCTTGTAATTTATAACGCAATCACGTGCCACACTCGAGGCCCGTTCGACAAAGCCGCGGCGCAACAGAGCCCCAAGCAACAGAGGGAGAGAGAAGCAGAGCAACAGAGGAAAGGCGCCAAAAATATGAATATATATTTTTGGATGAATGGAGAGCGACTAAATAATTTGGAAATGATTTACAATATTGCCAGGAAGAGGCCCCGGACCCCGAGGTTCATAAATCTAGCTCCATGACGAAAAGATGCAGTTTGGCTTTGGAGAGGAGTGGAGTCCGCTTCACGGGCGCCCAAAAATTTGCAAAAATTACAGGCTGCAGCCGCGAATGATGCATGACTGGCAGGCAGACACTCGATGGGGCAAAAGACGGCTCTGGGCCCTGCAGTTGTCCTATAAAAATGCGACCCCGTGGCGCTAATTCGGTTATGTATTGTCAGCAGGCCTAATCTAGCGGGAAATGGCATGCCCCTGGGGCAGGGGAGGGAGGGGCAGCTGAGGCGATAATTGCAATGGCTGCCATTTCAATTTACTCCACCCCTCATTCGACATTCTACGCTCCCCGGGCCCCTTTGATGGATGGCCCCGGCCTGCAGTCCGACGCAGTTGTCAAACATTTCGCGCCTTGGCCATTTGTCTTTCTCTTCGCTTTGCAGCCCATTCCGAGATGGGTAGCACAGCTTTGGGGCAGTGTCTGATCGGGCAGCTGCTCCTTTTGGTGCGCTTTTTTCTCCACATGCTGCATGCCGCTTTAGGAGTTGGTGGGGGGTATTTATGAGTTGGCACGCAACGGGTGCAGGAGCAGGAGCAGGAGCAGGACCGGGAGCAGCAGCATGATTTACAGCTGATTGAGCGAAACAAAGGCAGCGCCAAGAATTAGCCGCAGTGCCCCATCAATCATGAAGCGCCAAGCCTGTTCATACCTTGGCGTAATCCTTTTGCTGCGAGTACTCAGGGCTCAAAGTACTCATCTGCCCCAATCTCCTCCAGCTCTCTGAAGTCCTGCATCCTGCCTGCCCTGCCCTACTCTGCCCCGACCGGATCGAACGGATCGACTGACTCGATTGGCTCGATTGGCTCGAATGGCTTTATGGCCGCATTATGCTTAATAAAGCAGTCAGTGAGGGCTTCTGCCACAGTTACTGGCTTTTTATTTCTATGCATCTGGCGGAGGGTTTTATCTGCGAGTCATAATGGGCGCCAACGCCGCTTTTACAGCCTCGCACTGGATTCGAGATTTCGGATCTGGGATTCCCCGCTCTGCAGCGTTTGCGTGATTTATGTGATTACTTCGATGCGGCGGCGTTGCGCCAAAGCTCGAAAAAATGAAGCCGATTCCCGTGGCCTGTGTATGCTCAGTGTACACAAAGCGGTGTTTGTCTGCAAACATTCTGCGGTTGAAGCGGAAGCTGTAGCCGTCTGTCAACAGCGAAATAAATATCCATAAATTGATGCAGCAGTCTAAATTGCAATTAACACTTGCCAGACAATTGCACGGTGAGTGTACTGCCATCATGCCCTCAAATGTAAGCAGCAGCATCACTCTTGAAGCAAATTCGCAGCTTACTTTTGCACGAAGAGGCAGGCGAAGGCTCAGCCTCAGCCTCTACCTCTGCCACTGTCTCTGTCTCTGTCTCTGCCTCTGACCGCTAATGAGCCGCTGCCTGTCCGCAGTCGCCACGCTGTTGATATTCAATTTATATTTAAAACAGAGAAAACCAGAGAGAGAGAGAGAGAGAGGAGTACTGTTCCATTATGAACCCGGAACGGAAGTCAGCCATCCCCGCAGACCGAGCATATTTGTGCGCGCTGCTCCACATATATTTTGGTCCTTTTTTCCTCCCATTCCTCTCTCTTTTTTTGCCGCAGTGGCACAAAATAATTTTCCCAATTGGGCATAAGTCCTGCGGCTGCCAGGGGCCTGGGCCCCTGCTCCATTCCGTCTGTGTGTAAATTGAAACACTCGCAGATCCTGTTCGTTCTCGTGCAGAGTCCAGAGTGCCGCGGATGGAGAGCAGAGTCCACTCATTCATGAATGCATTTACATGGCCCAGGCTTGGGTTTCGCTCCCACTGGCTGGCAGGGGCATGGCAATTTAACAGCATTTACTGTAACACGTGTAATTATTTCATGAGATTTATCTGCAGCAGAAGCAGCAGCATCAACAGTAGCAACAGCAACTGAAGAGCTCTCTTGCCACAAGCTGCTGCTGCACTTTGGTAAATGCGACAAAAATTCCAATTGGAAGGCGGCGCCGGACAACCGCAGCGCAAACAACACGAGAGAGAGAGAGAGAGAGAGAGAGAGAGGGAGTAGCGAGAGGTGGTGCATGCCACAAGTGACCGCAGGCCAGTTGCTGCGAGGAGCATAAGCCAGGACCATCTTACGGGGGACGGGCATCGAGTGACCCTCTCGGATAACTCCCGCAGTCGTGTGCCCTTGCTGCTGTGATAAGCTGCCATGTACCGCAGCCGGCAGCCGTGTACCCAACGTTTGCCTGTCTGTCACTCCGTGCCCCGCGCCGAGCCATTTCACGCGCTTACTCGTGCATCAACTTACAAGAGGCGCACACGCATCGCCATCTGTTGTGGTTTATTTGAGTTAAAATGATTGGATGCACGTCATATCTAGAGTAGAGTAATGCTCGTGGACGACGACCAGCACC